CACTTGCGCACGTTTTCTAGCGTTTTCATTGAATCGTACTTTTGCGTAATATTTCTTTATAATCATGTCTTAATACTTTCAATTGTCTTATTTATAGCTAAACAGTCCAGTCTACAATTTGAACAGCAACCTTTCAGCTTGTGTCAACAGAAGGGATTCTTCTAAATATGAGGTTTGTCTACTCACTAATAAGACCAGAAATAATCTACAAAGAACCTTCCTTACTCTTKGTGTTTCATTTGTAGAAAAAGGAAATAACTGGTTTCTTTGCCCTTGGCATCCTGCTTGGTTTGCTGATTGGTCTTATTGTTGCTTGCATCATCATTGTATTGATGATTAAATGCTGCGATACAGGAAAGATAGCTTCGTGTTACTTGGTAACTACAATATACTCAATTGGGATTCCTGTGTTTAACATATAGCATGAGATTCCTGTGTTGTCAACCGAAACAGGAAGCCCGAAGATTAGACAATTAGGCAAGAGATATTATTGATTAATGATAATATTTGTTATTAGTGTTTCACAAACAAGGACAGCATGACTGTACTCACTGGTGGCTCACAGTACGTGTTYAAAGGTGAACCCAGAGACAACAAAGTCATAACAAAACACAAAGAAGTCAGGTACGTTAATTGRACTGTTTGTCGCGCTCTTCCAATCGCTTCATGCTACCAAATTTCAATGACAACCTTCATGAAACAAGGTGGCAAAGGACACAATTCTGGTGCTGGGTGTTTAAAAATTTCGGCTTTTGACGAGACCTTAAAATGTATTAGCATAGTTCATTGTTTCTTCGTGCCATTATATTGAAGATTGTAATTTCTACAGCATAGTCAAGACAGATGAAAGCATTGTCCCAATACTTAGTCTTGATAACGCTTCACAGACAGAAAAAGAACTAGACAGGTAGGTATACCAACTATACTATAAGGGCTGTAAATATAGGTAAATTAATAATAACTACTAATATAGTATAATAACACTATTTACACAAGGAATACAAACTATTTCGTGTTATKAAGTCATGACTTTTGTATTCATGTAGTCTGGACGTACAAGCAACAGTTAACCTTGATACGGAGCTTGAAAGTCAACGTCAAAATATGTTTGTACATGGTTTGTCTCTGCTTGTCAAAAAACTGCGAGTAAAACGAGAAATATCAACAAGCCAACAAAACAAGGTAACAGCAGTCTCTCTATATATATAGTTAATTATCGTGACAATCTTTAAAACCAAAGAAAGCTCCTCAAATTGACGCTAATGTGGTGTTTTGTTTTGTTGTTGTTGTTGTTGTTTTTTTTTTGGGGGGGGGGGGCAAGGGGAGTGCACGTCTTTCTTATCCGCTGATCTGAAGTGTTRTTTTCATTTCCATGGACTATTTAGTCCTTAAAACTCTGTCAATCTGTTCTTTGAGTAAACCATTCCTRTAATGGTAGACAAGGTTGACGAAACCACTGCCGCGCTATTAACAAAARTTCTATGAACGAATGAAGAATGAAGAATMRAATGGAAATAACACAAATGAGGAGAGCCATTTGAGTTCTTGCGATGAATGTCGTGAAATATTGTTTAAATAAARGATGAAAATAATGGGAAATAGAATGGATCTGTATTTACTGTTTATTATTTTGCTTTGTGATTAGTTTATGGCCAAACTGAAGGCAGACCTGGGAAGCATTGGTTACAAGATGTCGGCAGAGTTTAAACGACGATCAGTCGATATTACTGTAACGTTCAAAATTAAGACAAAGGTATCTTTGGACTTATTTATTAGTCTCGYAGTTATTATATCTAGGAATTAATCATCTTTATCAAAACCTTTTATTAGTATTAATGTGGCAGCATTACACGACTTTTAGAAACTGATGAAAGAACAAGCCAAGCGCGAATCAAAGGAGAGACAAGAAACTGAAAATAAAATAAAAGGACTTGTAGATTCGGTATGTAACCAGTAGTTTTCTGTCAATTAGTTTTGATCTTTCTAACGCATTTGTTTGATGTTAGCGTGAACGCAGAGAAATCCTTGAAATCCTTCKCCAGAGACACGCCCGAGAAGAACAAGAACTTAAAAGAAAAGCCAAACTGGACCTGGACGTTGAGATGGAAAAACTAAGAAAAGTATGTTAATTASCCATTCTCTGTCGACTTACATAGTCCTCTTTTGATGGATGTTGTGATTGAGATGCTAAAGACGAGACGCCATTCGTCGTGATAAACTGAATCCTAAGGATATCACGTGTTTAGTCTCTTCTTCAATTACTATGATCACTCCATAAGACTGTCAAAAATGGAATATTAGTATCKCATTCTTGTACAGTTACCGGCCGCTGATAGATTGACTTATATGATATTCTTGTAGGAAATATCCATCGGTAGACGGTTTGCTGTTAAGGAATGTCAAAGTAAATTACTACAAGATTTGATCAAAGAGGCACGAATCAATGAAGAACGAGCAAACGATTTAGTACGAGAACACCTGGCTATCATGGCTGCTATTGACAAGGCTACTGACGAGGAGAGGGCACGTAGGCTTGTCGCCTTGGAAATGAGGCTGGCAGAAAGAAGGGCGCTTGCTCTACAGAAGGTTAGGRTACCTAGTTCCYAGTCACGACCGAGTAAGAAGTCACGRGACGTTACCCTGACAACTGATTTCAAACCTACACCCGAAGCAAATAAGCAAACAAATAAAAATACACAACAATGTAAAAAAAAAACAATAGCAACAAAAAATAAATCTAAGAAAAAATAAAAGAAAGTAATAATTCGATCAACTGCAACGAAACAATCAATGTATTCTAGATCCCTTGTTCTAACGTAGCTCCAYGATACTTTTTCCATCAGCTCGACGATGACARACATAATGAGGAGGTAATGGAGGCGCTATCAGAGCAGCAAGATGAGAATATGGAGGGCTTGATAGGGTAATTATACCTTTATCACTAAGAAATCCTTGAGAAAAAGTTYAAACAATATTTTCATTTCATCAGCTCGTCCAAGGTAAGCGAAGCAGATGTCAACGCGTATCGTACTCAGTACAGGAAAGACCTGGAAGGTTTAAGCAAAAAACTGTCTAAAGAGAAACAAAACCAGGAAARGAAGTTCCACATGAAGTTAACCGCTTTGAAGCAAAAGCGTTTGGAGGATTTGGTAAGGCTCAAAACAATTGTACTTTTCAAATGGAAAAAACGAAAGCAAAACGCTATGTTATAGTCGAAAGGTGAAGAGAAGAAACCATTTCTAACCAGGCTTGTATTGCAGATGACGGTTATTATTGGTATCCTCAGAAGCCCAGGTGCTGCTGAGCGTGACCGTGAAGCACAGCTCCTCGGTTTCCAGGGATGGGTCAATCAATGAGTGATCATGATGTCCGAAATACTGCTGATAAATGGCTATAAGTATAAAACATGCCTTTTCGTCTTATATTTAGTATTTCTCCTTGCTTTCAGGCTCAACAACATGCGGAAGAGATAAGAAAATCCAATGAAGAWGAAGATGATAAAATTGAACAAGTGGAAATAGGTAATTGCTTAACTGTTTTATGATTCAAGATACGTCGGGGACCCTCGGTATACCTTCGGGGCATCTTCGTAAGATCTTCGTGAATTGCTCAGTCTTAAGTGAGGTCTCAGGAAAAAAGCTACATTGAATCTGTTGTGTCATTAGATTGTATCGACTCCGTAAACGAAAGACAGAAGATGTTAGAGCGTCATCGCCGGGAGCTTGAAGATCTTGAGAGAGAAGCAGATCACGAGGTATTTAGGGMTGATTCAAGCTTTAAWCACAGATGATTTAGTGTTAACTGCAACCAATGAATCTGTTGTYATCAGGCTTCAGACGAAGTGCAAACGTTACATGACCGACAATCRAGGGTTTTGCAGGAACAGGCCAAGACGAGCGTACAAAAGATTTATCGTGATATGACGTCAAAAGGTAACCAATATCCACGAGTTTCCTTGGCAGACTCGTACAATCATACTAGATACTAATACTGGCCTTTGTAGCAGCCCCTCTGGGAAAAGAAGCGGCCTTTGTAGCAGCCCGTCTGGGAATAGAAGCGGGGTGGGATAAGACGAAGAGAACTTTCCAGTGTTTATGTCGCAAAAGTGAAGAAATTGTTAATAATTTATCTGTGTTGTAGGTCTTGACGAATCGCTTAAGAATAGCATCATAGACAAGTACACATCAGAACTAGCAAGACAACAAGAAGCAAAGGAAGAGAAAAGACAGAGAGATTCACAGTTACTGGAGGTACAAAACAACATAATGCAGCCTATTCATTTGATACTGTATGGAATCAGGAAAAGTACTTTGCTTTATTCCTGTCAATAATGGTTCTTTTCAAGACACTATATTTCAATGTGTCATGAGCAGCTTGACTACTGAATAGTTACTAGAATGAGTTTAGAATTCGATTGCAATCTCTTCTTTCATTGCAGAAACGGTTGTCTAAGTTGCGCAARGCTTTGGAAAAGAAAGCAGTCGAAGAAGTCAGCGAACAGGAAGAAATACGAAAAAAGGAAGAACAAATTATCAAGTGAGATCCTTTCCTTTATCTATAAATCCTTGTCAAATCTCTCGTCTATATCTTTCAACCATCCAACCATTACATTTCGTCCCTCTACCCTCTCATCGTACCTCTGACGGTACACAAATTATCAAGTGAGATCGTTTCTTCTTTCAATAAATCCTCTTTCACATCAATCCATCTACCTTTCACCTTCCAACTATTACACATCGACCCTCTATACCCTCTTATCGTACCTCTGACTGTACGCAAATTATCACTAGAAGTGAACATAAACAATGATCCACTTTGCAACTGAGTCTTATTTTTCGCAGTGAATTAATAGTCAGTCAAGTGGTAATGTCTGAAGAAGAACGYGATAAAATACTAGAAGAGCACGAGAAAAACTTGGTCGAGCTTGAAAGCAGCCTGACGCTAAATAAACTGAGACAACGACAAAAGCTTGAGGAACGTCTGGCTGAAAAGAGAAAACAGAAAATGCAAGACTTACAAAAACAACAGCAAGAAGAGGAACAGGTAAAATATCACGATAAAGACGTCTTTTGACTATAAAAGCTTGTCGATTAGTCTGTTGTTCTCAGTAGCCGAATGTACGAAATGTACCTAAAGGACAGAAGACTTGTCTGAATTCGGTACCTAAAGGACAGAAGACTTGTCTGAATTCGGTACCTAAAGGACAGAAGACTTGTCTGAATTCGGGTTTGATAATTAACCAATGATGGGATGCTGGCTGGTATTTGTACTAGTTAGAGTAGAGTACACGCACTTAATCCGTGAAACAAATGGTAATGACTAGAGTGAAGTCGGAAAACCCGTGAAATAGATATTACACTAATACACCTTGGTACGCTCTAATTACACTTTAATAATCACAGTCTAATGGTCAAGTTTTGTTTCACGGGTATTTAGAATCCATTCTGAAAAGGAATTAGATTGATTTATTGTTCACAGATTAAATGCGCGAATTAGTGTAATTAGTACTAACTACATGTAATAATTTTAAACACTGTTGATATTTACTTTAAGGTGAAAGATTACGCTGATAAAATTCTAAACGAAGGCGAAGATATTGAAATGCTTAAAAAACACGAGCAAGAGAAGGTTGAATTGTTAAAAGAAGACGATGAAAACAGAATAGATAAGTTAAGCGAACAAGTGCGTGAAGACATGATGAAAGAACGAACGAAAAAACTTCAAGAACATCAAGAAAAAATCTCTGCAACCATAGCTAAACTACAGATAGAGAAGGCAAAACAGGTATGCATGGGTATCCTGTGTCGTGAAGTCTGTCATGGGTACCCTGTATCGTGAAGAGTCTCGTTAGCATCCCTCTGAACAGAGTATCATTGCTTTTTTCAGATATCTCAGATGAGGGCTCAACAACAAATWCTCAATCAGCTTCAAACAAATTTAGTCGATGAATTAGAATCCACAGGAGTTTTTGAAGACCCAGAAGCGATAGAAATTGTCGAGAAATACAAAAAAGATGCCAAGAAAGTCGAAGATAATTTGCGCAAACAGAGAATAAAACAAGAAGAGGTATAAAARGCTTAGTTTAACGGCACATGCGCTTGCTACAGTACCATCATGCATAGTGACAACTTAAAAAATGTCAGTTTACTGGTTTCTGTGGTTTACAATGTTTTCCAAAGCCAGAGAATTCTCTAACGAAGAAGGTCGAGAATGATTAGTAATTCGAAATTCTAATTTTTTGCAGGATTTGAAGGAACGACTCGAAGAAAAGTTAAAGGAAAGAAGAAAAACGATTTTAATAGAAAATAAGGCAAGCWTTTTAATGGCATTATTCTCCTGTTCTACACATTAGGATGCAGCTGGACGATTATTACGTTATTGCTTTGTTTACTRTCWATTCAACTATTTAACTTTTATATYGCATTTTAGGCCAAAGATTCCAAGCTTGTTGAAGAGGGAGGTAACGTACCTGCCTTGGTACGTTTCCGTAAGGCCGCCGTCAAAGCGAGACAGGAAGAACAGTTAAATGAACTGAAAAGAAGAATGGAGAAAGAGAAAGAACAGTCTCTTAACCAACTGAGARTCAACCATGACCTACAACGAATGAGAGTTACAGAAGAAAAGGTAAAMATCTGAACTTCCTCTTAATTCTTTGTTTAAAGTCCTATTTACTCCTTTTCTCATTTCCCTTCCTTTCATCTTTCCTACAATTGAAACTTTTTCATTTTGTCTCCATGGGATCGTTTCGAGTTACGTAAACCATGACGTAATACGTAACCATTACGTTGACCTTCATCACTGCAGTAATTAATCGTAATCYTTGATTTCTTTCGTTCAGAACATCCAGTTCATCTCGATGCTTGTGAATAAAGGACAGCTAAAGCTAGAGGAAGTAGAGTCCACGTTGAAGTTCCTATTTCCATCAAAGTAAGTTCATAATCGCTATTAGTTGATAAGCTTGGGCTACCTGTGCATGATACTAATACATTCATATCCAGGCCTCCAGAATACATCGATTCTTTGTTGTTAAAAATCTATGGTACTGGTCAAAAGTCTGCAAGTATATCATCTAAAAGGACTAGCTTCACGCCGAATTTTACAGGGTAAGATTARATTTCCTATATTATAACCACAAGTCTCCCGCGGTCATGGTGAAACACAGGTTTCCCAATATGAATGATAATGGAGGTTCTTGGTTAAATTGCAAAAAAACCTTGTGTTTTGTAGTGAGATGAGCGAGTTGGAGAAACGTGTCCGACGAACAAGCCTTAGACCACTTCAGTCCATTAGAGTTCTTCAAAGGTTCGTCGATTCATTATTAATTTTAATTCACATCTTTTTCTCCGTGTTTGTTTCACGGATTAGGGTCGTTGCAYTCAACCCGTGAAACATTACTAAATATCAGTATGTGACTTCAACTGAAACAAAGGAAAACCATCAAAATAAAGTCTTSTACTAACTAGAACTAGTCTACTAAATACTAGTGAGTCTAATGTGACGTTTAGTTTTTCTGAGTAAGATATTCACTTGTAATCATTCRTGTTTCACTATCAGTGCATGGTTGCATGACATTCATATGTTCCTTAAGTATCATTTTCCCGCCATTTCATTTAATCACGTCACAATTTCTAGAATGAGAGCTATGCGTGCGGTAAATGAGGAAAAGCCTTAAAAACTGGTTTGGTCAAGGTAAAAGTGTGAACTCACTAATATAATAAAAATTAATTAATAATATCTGTTAATAGAGTAAAATAACCTGCACCTATATAACGAGTGTTGTTTTGATTCTAAAATGATAATAAACCTGACAACGAATTAACGAATTAATTAACGAGTGCAACAAAAGTAAACAGTGATTTGATTTAATTCGAAGTAAAATAGTATGATTCCTAGTGATGGTTGCTTAGACACAAAACCGGCTAAAAACGGCGATATTGCCTATGTCTTCCCCAGTTAAATGAGATCGCTGTGCTGTCTTTTTATCACGTATTTCTGTTGCGTTTCATGTTGACAAAGTTATCATTTATTATACTTCGCATAAAACAAGCTACTCTCTCTTCCACCAACATTCAACGCAACATTGATTCGCGCAATAGTCTTGTATCATTTCATCGTACTATTATCAAATTGCAGCGAAAAAGAAAAGAAAAGAAAAAGAAATAAATCAAAACGACTAGTAGAACAARAAGAAAATGATTTGCCACCTGTAGTTGTACGCAAGGGAAACAGACCGTCTTCTAAGCTAATTCCTCTTGACAATGGACAACGTAGTACTCTATCCACAGACAGCCCTGATAGTRCTGCACTTCGACCTTTACTGAAACCCATCTCATCACGTTCCCAGTCCCCTGGGGACGACACACAGGATGACAGAAGGCTGCTGGATGAGATGTTTGGAGGGAACTCAAGTGAGCCTGATTCACCAAAGGTTGTGAAAAGACGAAAGAAGAAAAAGCGAGATGTTTATCGAGATCTTGATAGCTAACCACTGTAAACTTTTAGGCATCYAATCATTACCCATGAAGCTTTTCAGACTTTGAGACAGGAAGCCCATAAACTATTTTATCTGTAAATACGTTGAGTCAGTTTGAGAAAAATCTGACTAGGCGTTATCAAGCTATTGATCCATATATTTATCTATATAATTGATATTTATAATTCATATTTATAGATAAGTCGCTTATCTATTAAGTCAGTGCGAGACATGGATGCACTTTAAGCATTAATTGTATTTACTAAATATCGGTATTTATTAGGAGTGAATAATATAGCCACAACAACATTAATCAAATAAGAAACTACTGTTAAAATTGGCTAGCTACAGTCAATCGACCCCTGTCAAGTACGACGTTGTATATCTATTTTGTCTAATGGGTTAAAACTATCTACAGTCAATTTGATCGACCCCTGTCAAGTACGACGTCGTATATCTATTTTGTCTAAGTTATGTATATGAAGCACGTTTTCTTGATATTTTATTTTATATATGAAATTGTTTTTTAGATATCAGTGTGCATTATCAGATCACAATAAATGGTTGACATCCCTGTGGTATATTGTCGTGGAGGGGTATAGGGACGGGCCCAGATCTTCCCAATCTTTCTCTCTTTTCTCCTTCAGAGGAGTCAGAGCGGCAAGGATGTAATCTTGCTTTTACGTTTCTAAACCAAAAGTGGTTATGGGTAAGGCATTTCAGTAACAACTGAGACTAAAATCTTTCATTTTTCGTCACATTTTTCGCAACGTCATGAAGAGTAACTAAAAGTCACAACAAGTCATATTTTGTCCTTTGTTTTATTCGTTATTTCCCTGATTTCGATCATTGAAATATTTCACTGTTACAATATAAATAATATGGACGTCTGYCTGATGACGTATAGTGTTGACTATGGAATGATAGAGGAATCAGTAAGACAAACTACACTAGAGGAACAACGTCCTTCTTAAACCCTGCACTTTTAATATTTCCCTCTAGTCTGTGTCTACATTCACACCCTCCTCTAGAGTCCCACATCCCTCCCTAATGAAATTCCTGAYTCGTTCATGGCGATATATTTAGTAACGAAGGGTATAATAACTCTTCATCAACTCTGCGAAGTCTGAATAAAGTCCTGCCATGTTAAAGAAATCATGTAATGACCTGTATCCTATAAGTTGGTATTGATTAAAGTGATCATATGGTATTATAGGATGGTGTGGTATTATATCCATACATGTAGTATGACAATACCCGTAACTATGGTCTACGGGAGAGTTCATGAWGCTTCTAACAGCAAAATGATSACGAAACCTTTCGGGCATTTTAGATATTTCTCTGTYYAGAGTATTTTTTATCACCTCTTGAGCATGAGTCATATTCKTGGGGTATTTCCGATGTAAAGGATTTAATACGGTTATTCCTGGATACATAATTGCTTGCCCTCGAAACTTTACTTCGATGGAAATGGAGACGACGCGATGAGCATGCCACCAACTTTCTTGATCGTATTCCACTGTATAAGGTAGTAAAAAAGGCAAAGCATCTCGATGAAAAGCATTTAAGATAGGGTCAAATTCCACCATCGGAAGTAGAGACAGGTCAGGCTTATTTAAACAATTTTTTCGTATTATTTTAATGAAAGATGCTTTGCGATGCACGAAGTAATTTACACAACCTACYGCGGGCTCCACGTCTAGTAGAAAGTCTTCAAACGTACGCAGTTCTGGTTGATGCTTGACGGACTGATTTACGTAAGGGTTATACTCTAAACGTATGTCATCGTCCGCAAAGATGTAGTACCTGTAGTTAACGGTACTTTTCCAGGCACGTTGATATAATGCATTTCTACCTGAAGCCCAAGTAGTGTTAGGGCCGTACATGTAGTGAATATGGTCTGAATTCGGCTGTTCATCACACCTTACTTTATAACTCAGCACAAGAACGTCACATTTACAATTTGTCGAGTTTCCAAGAAGTTCTTGTTKTGCTAAATAGGTTGGAAGRCATTTCTCAGTTTGAATCAAATAAARAAATTCCTTTTTCTTGTCTGCAGCCGGCGGAGTAGAAAGACGATGCGGCGAAAACCACARAAAGACTAAAATGAATGAGGACGCAAGAAAAAACATCTTTTTCTTTTTACCGTTGAGCATTATTACTAGCTGTTGTGTCCAATGTGTCTTGTATTATCATGTATGTGGTATATACCTTGTACTCAAGAAGTCTTTATAGTGTTTCTCCATGGTAACCACTTAGTTAGGCCAAACATGTCTGGACTGCGCATGTGCAAATTGTTGGCCAATAATSAACTTTAATAAGTAGAAAACTAAGACAGGTTTTCCAACTATGTCAAGATTGGATTACCGCGTTCTATGTATTTTCAAGCAAATCATAAAAACAGACTTATTGTGATTTACTGACCCAAATCATATCAATCACTGAGACAACGAAAAGTGCCGATTCTCACCACAGGAAACCCATCGTTTTATTTCKTTAATTTACCCATACTCCTTTTCGGCCTAGGAATGAGATGTGTATTCTTGGTTCTCACATGACGTCACGGCCGCCATATTGGCGTACACCAAACAAAAGGTTTTCATTAGCCCCTATTGTTAAATACAACGACATGGCTGCCAAAACTCTTGTTTATTATAACCAAGAAAAACATGAAATAAAATATTCGGAAAAATACTTTTAAAAAACATTCATAAATTATTCACAAAAGTGTAAATAATACTTCAAAAGCAAACTAATCGAGATCAGTAATTAATTATCATATTRATTCAGAGAAACATTGTTAGCTATGCCGCCTCTATTGAACGACTTTCTGATCTGCCGATGTGGTCAATCTGTAATGTATTTTCAAGAGAAAATATGGTTAATGTGTTCCAAGTCAGTAGAGGAATTTTCATAAGATATACAGACTGATTCGAAGTAGCGTTTTACTGTCATTACAGAAAATCACAGGTTTTTTCTCCACGTGTGTGCAGCTTGCGAACAAAATTCGCAGTCGCGTCACTTAAAACAGCTTTTTTTGGCCGCAAGAATCGCGCGATAACAAGAACATCACGTGACTGAGTTAAGCCAATCATAATCAAGATTTCAATGGATTATCGCTCGCCWAYTTCAAAGTTTGCAAATGCAGAATTTGCTTTGACCGCAAAGAGGAATTCAAGATGGATTTTGAAGTTTGGAGGGGAAATTAACCTTAGCTTTTGAAATTTCATTATGCTGTAACTTCTGGCTTATACTTTAAACCGATGGCTTGGCCGCACCACTTTGCACTTATCTTCTGTGTATTTTGTAAGTATTACTTACATAGAGTTTTTTTTCCTGGGCCGTTTTTTCTGGTCCGAATTYCTACGGATAAATTYCAATTTAACTTTGTTTTCAAACAGGCGTTAAAGAAATGGCAGCTTTTGCAGCTCGAAATGACTCGATTATGTTTTCCTCGAATCGTGAAGTGTTTGTTGGAGAAGATGCAATCTTGGARTGGAAGGTTGACAAAAAAATTGTCAAAAATATYGCAGAAATAAAGTTTGGTGTCGTAACAAGACCCGCACTTCATAGCGAAAGACTTGACGTGATTCTTGTTAAGAAACTTACCAAAGGAACTATTTCATGGAATTACCAAGCCCCTAAACACGTAGCGAAATTTGTCAACCGAACGACTGTCTTGAAAAACAAAACTGCAGCTTTCAAAATCAGTAAAATGAGGTTGAATGATTCWAGCGAGTTTTACTGCACGGTGAAAAGAATTGGCTCCTTAAACAACATGATAAAAGATTATGTAAACATCAAGGTTATAGGTAAGCAAAATGTTAAATCAATTAGTACTAGCCTGCAAAACTACTGCGAGATTCTAATTACCACCACGGCATGAAAGAACATCCTGGAGACTTAGAAAAAACCTTAACTAGTACATATTGTTTGTAATACTCGGGTAGAAAACTTCACTGAAGGGACGCTCTCTTCAAGAGAGAAATTCTCTATTTGAGGTCCTTTTTGAAAACCATTTCTTTGTAAATGAAAAAGTTTCCTCAATAAAGATTATTATTATTATTTGCACACTGGGCAATCTAATTGTAAACCGGCTTTTCAGGAGCAAATATTAGTACTAAATACGAGAAAAAATCGAGTTATTCATCACTAACAATACAACTAATAAAAACAAAAGTGCATCGTTTCCAAAATAGAGAAATCAATATACATCACCATGTGTGATCAGAATACCTTATCTTATATACATCACGTTAAACCAAAGTCTTTTAAACAACCAAACCATGCACAAACTCAATCATTACATCTTGTTGTGAACGTATTTACATGTTTTTCTTAAAGAAAAGTCGGTAAATGTTGTTTTCAGCAATGTTTCCATAATATTTAGGTATAAAAGTCAGTTAATAAAGGTTATTAATACACAACCAAAGCATGAAATAGTAAACATGATTTCTTTTTCTGTTTGACATCGTCGATAACTTTATCTTTAGTTGGTTTTCTTTATGGTTTGTTTGATGGCGACGCATTCTCGTTATGAGGAAAAATGCGAAGGTTTTCAATACTAAATTGTTGATTTTCAAAGAATGTACAGCGATGATAGAAAGAGCAAATTTCTATTATAAATATTTACACGAACAACACTGCAACACAAAACATTAGTGCTGTAAAGCAATTTTGAAAGCGAAATTCATTTTATCTTAAGTATACAATTTATAACGTTTTTTGGACTGGTTTGTTTCAAATACACTTAAACGTCAATCAAATGTTTGTTCCAATTTCTTTAAAGTTTTTCACCGAAAAAAATGCTGAAATAATCAATAATCAGAACTCAAAACTAAATAGTAAAAAAACATTATTTTTTATCCTGCGCTCCCCTTGCACTAATACCATAAAAAATCATTTGAAACAAGCAGTTCCACACATTAKGTCCCGTTACAAAGCCTGAAAACTTTGAATTCACTTCTTTCTAGGTGTTATAAAATAAATACGAGCAATCAGTTGTTATTATCATTCTGTACTTTCCATGTACAACCAAMATAATTATCGATAATTAATTATTAATTAGAAGCCTACTGATCTTATTTCTACCAATGTTTGGCATGGTGCTGGATCTACTTTTAAAATTTAACTTGTTTAAATAATTTCAAACTAATATTTATGAATACACGGTGTATATTATCAGATGTGGAAATCCTAAACATGACTTCAAGCCAAGACATCATTTCATGGAAACGTCATAAAGTCCATCTTCGSTGTAATGTCCGTGTAGTTCCTGATGGAAACATCAGCTTCACGTGGAAGAATAAAGCTACGGGGGGTACCACAGTCAATCCCGACATGCACCGCGATGGCAAGACTGATAGCTATTTRAAGATACGAACAGTTCGCGATGAAGATTTTGGTCCATATGAATGCATCGCCATGACACAAGCYACAGTACACTCACACGAAATACGCATCAAACGATTATGTAAGATATCAATATTATAATCATCATTGATTAATTTGGCATCATTTTCATCGTCATCATTATCATCACGGGTCATATTATWACCAGTGGTGGTTTTTACGTTAGATAAAACACTGATGAATAAAACATGAGAGCATTAAATCCAGCAAAATACTCATGAAATGATTATCAGGTTTTATAAAGTTTAGAAGGTCCATAATGTGACMCAATGCACAACTCGTAATAGCTCATAAAATATTAATGATCTTTTCAAATCAACCATCACGATTAATGATTGTATATGTTGGATGTTTTCAGTCGAGCCATCAGCTCCCAATAATTTCAGCCATCACCGCAAACTAACAGACAATAACAACTGTACAGTGGTCGCACGATTGGCGTGGATGCGTCCTTTGGACGACGGAGGTGCACCTGTCACAAGTTACAGTGTCGAGTACAAACCATTTGGCAGTGAATGGCATAAAGCAAACCGTCGCCAYGTTRATAGWAATTATATAGATATATGTAGACCACCACGTGACCGAGGAGGGGATGGACTGCGCGTGCGTGTAAGAGCMAGGAACAAAGTTGGTATGGGGGACCCGTCGCCTGGTACGATAGTAACATTTTGGGGTAAGATCGTACTGTGTTTTATGTCCTAGTACTTACTATAGTAAGACGTATGGAGCAGAATGAAAGAGGGGAATGGTGGAGAAGACGGTGTAAAATGATGGAGAAGAATTATGAAGAACACAATGAAGGAGAGTGCAAGGAAAGAAGGAATTGATTATCGCGAATATTGATTAGTTTTATGGTCGATGACTAATGCACGATAATGATACTTTACTTTCTTAGACGAGCCAACAGCTCCCCAAGAACTTCGTACYCAGCTCATCCGCAACCTGGGTGAAGCCTTCATTAAACTCACCTGGGGCTACCCACGTGATGATGGTGGAGTCATTGTTTCCGCTTACCAGATAGAATACAAACCCGTGGGCTCAACCTGGAGTGTTGCTGCTCGGTCGGAAGAGACACTAGAGCAAGAAACAACTTTGTGGAAAACATCGAAGAACGTTAATTTGTACGAAGTCCGCATACGTGCTATAAATGGAGTCGGTTTTGGTGAATGGTCAAGTACTATTAATGCYGCATTTGCAGGTCGGTTGGYACTTCATGTGAGGTTGTAGATTGTGTAACCACTAGGTCATCAAAATTCTTACTGWGATGTTGTTTTGATAGAAGTTCCATCAAGACCACTTGACATTGGAGATAAAGTATTACCCCAYGCTCGAAAAACGTACCCTCACATTCACGTCCACTGGAACCGACCGCTCGATGACGGAGGTCTGCCTATCAAAAGATATCGACTAGAGTACAAAATTATTTCACAAAGGGAATGGAAACAAGCTAAGCACGTGTTTACGAAAGATGAAAAGTATGTCATCAAACACGTGAATAAGGATCAAGAATATGAAGTCCGCGTTGCTGCTGAAAATAAAATGGGGACTGGGACATGGTCGAATGTTGTAACTGTTAAATACAAAGGTATATATCCGTGTTATAATAATATGATAACGATGATGATGATGTTGATTACTGCGAAGAATAAAAAACAAACGAAGAGTATTTCTATATTCAATATTCTATTGAAATCCACTCATGAAATCAGACCCGAAGGACTTTGCGGCACGTGTATAGCCTCCTTTGAGAAATAGTTATTCACTGAAATTACTTTAAATTTCTCTTTTTACAGAGAAACCTTACGTCGCACTTAAAGCTAGCTCATATGGAACAAGAAAGATTGCATGGCAAGATCTCGTGATGACTTTGGCCGTCATTGCTTCGCTTTACTTACTATAAAACACCAATATAAGGCTTTATTGTTACAACATGCACGTTGCGACAAGAACACCAATAAACTGATATATTCGTTATCATACCATATGATATCATCTGTGTACGACAAATTTCTTAGTAGATCTTGCGCAATGCGCTCATTGAGCACGACAAATTTCTTAGTAGAATTGCAATGGAACACATTTCACTTCAGTTTATATTATAATGCAGAAAGCTACAGTAGTATAACAACTGTACGAAAATTCAATCTAATGAACGATGTGAAAAATTCCTTGAAAAAGAAAGAAAAAACTATAACCGCAGTAAACCACGCTCACAGTAGTTATAAAGGGCTTTCCTTTAGTACATATAGCGTATTGAGCATATATAAACGTCATATATTCTATTTAAACACTTTTAATGCCAGCCGCTTACTGTATAAGACTATGTACTCTCATATAATCATGTGTATGTGAATAAAAGATATATCACGTCTAYTGTTAAGTTAATTAAAACTATACGTTGTGTGTAAACCAGATAAAATTACTATTCTTATTCATTTCTTTACTAACTGACTAAGATCTGACATTGGGTTTCCTGTGTTGGCCGGCGATAAGAATGAAGCTGGACAGCAGTTTTACCCATGAGTAGTCAATTTCAACATGGCGGACGAYAAGAAGAATTTTATATTTTTAGTTGTCCCTGTCGGTGTACTAGTTCACATTGTATATTTAGTGTCTATATTTGATATATATTTTACTTCACCTCTTGTCCATGGAATGGAGCCGTTCAAAAGCTCACTTGAGCCGCCAGCGAAGAGATTAGTGTTGTTTGTTGCCGATGGTCTGAGGGCGGACAAGTTTTACGAGTTAAACGAGTTGGGTGTGACACGATCTCCATATCTTCGTAATATCATAGAAACTAAAGGATCGTGGGGAGTCTCACATACAAGAGTTCCAACTGAATCACGTCCAGGTCATGTGGCTCTGATCGCTGGTTTTTACGAGGATGTCAGTGCTGTCGCAAAAGGTAAGTTAGCTTATATTGCTTCTCTATCTTCTCAATTACAAGTTCTTAAAAGCTTATTCATTCAATAACAATCAATAATATGGCACTCAGATTCACAATATGGCACTATTTAAAGAAATGTATTACTGGAATGTACTAAAAATTAACTTTTTTGATATGTTGTGTAAGGTTGGAAGGAAAACCCTGTGGAGTTTGACTCTGCATTCAATGAGAGTRCTTATACCTGGTCATGGGGYAGTCCTGATATCTTACCGATGTTTGCTAAAGGAGCCACAGGAAGTCATGTATTTACATCAATGTATCCACCAGAAATGGAGGACTTTGCRGATACTGATGCTTCAAAACTTGACCTTTGGGTGTTTGAAGAAGTGAAAAGATTCTTTGATAGAGCTAAGRATGATAARACTCTGTCTGAGAAGCTGTCAAAGGGAAAGATTATCTTTTTCCTTCATTTGCTGGGTAAGGTATCTTA